GCCTCCCTGTCCTCCACGCCAGAACGGATTAATGGTAATTCCATTGAACCTTATGGGAAAATTTGCTTCGGGTCGCGCCCAATTCGGGTCACGACCAGAGTCACGGAACGAATTAAGTTCGTAAACCGAGGTTCCACTGTAGTTATTATCTCTTTTTAATAAGTATATGGCAAAGAGGAAAAAGTAGTCAGTCTTTACAGCCAAGAAAACTGATTTAGAAAAACCTGCTTAAAGACTAACAACAGAAACAATAACCTTCTTAAAAATACCTCATTGAAAGAATTTATATAAAGAAATGAAAATTAAAGGAAGTATAATCACATATAGAGTGACACTTTCTGCATCGTCTCTAACAAAACCTATATAGATGCTAACAATAGTTCAGTGATTTACCCTTCACATAAAGAAATCTTTGGTTCAGTTCCTGGCCTCTAGAAAATACCGCTGTAACTAAGGTAGGAAATACCCCTGTCTGAAACCTAGAAAGCTGCCAATAGTAATTTTAAACAGTAGCCATGCTGACCAGAGAATTCTGGAAATTAAAGTTCATGCATCTTGAGTGTACCCAGATTCAGGAAGACTAGAGAAGGCCACATAAACTAGATTAACTCATCTTCTTCAGCGTAAGACAGCTTCCTGTGTTTTCTTTAACCCAAATCATTTGTTTACTGGAAATCTATCTCCCAAAAGAAATGAATGAGAGCACAATGTAATCTCAAACAAAAAACACCTTATACAAGATGCAGTGAATCATAACATTCTTGCCATAATGCCATGTCACCACTGAGACTGCTTTCCAGGAACTCTTGTTAGATCAGATATATATTTTGCCATCTCTCTCTCTCTCCCACAAATACTAGAATTAAATGAAGTTGAGGGGGAGAGACATATAAACATTGTTTTAAATAAACAGCTTCAATATGCAATATATGGACAGAGAAATATGGCTAGACAATAGTGAAAAATAATTGTAGTAAATTCCAGTATCAGGACAATGACAGACTTTATAATTTTCAGATATTCTTTAACAATCCATGAATATGGATGAGAACCACTCATCACCCCCAGAATTCTACATCTATTTCTGGTTTCCAGGGACACAGCTGGTCATATTCTCACTGGATGTATATATTCCTCTCTAATCTAACATAAAAGGTTATCTATCCAAATACTGTGTGAATTTTCATTCCCTTCATGTTATGCTATTCTAATTCAACACTACAACATCATCAAAAGTCATGCTAAACATTCCTACTAAATCAGGGATACCAATGTATCAGTCTTCCAATATATATATGGGCAACAGTTATAACCTACTGTCCAAAGTATACAAAGAATTACCCCAAATGGAGGATATGAAGAGGCAGCAGCGGCTGAAGCAACACCCACTGTGGGAGGTGGTATCCCTGAAGAAGAAGGTGGGAATAAACCCAAGGCATTCAGATTTAACCCTGGAATTAAATGTGCTTGAAGCTGGAATGACATGAAAGATCATTAGTTCAGCAATGTAATAAAAACAATATCTTACATAAGGGATTCTTTCTTGTTCAGCAGTCAAAATTTAAACAATTTAACTAGAGTAAAACTTCATGTAGCTAATTAATTTAAAAATTAATGTCAGAATCTTGTATCAACTTATATATAACAATATATACTACTATTTTGCTAGAAGCAACTATTGATTGATTCTATGAAATAATGCTATACTGTACCTCAGCTGATGGTATTACAGCAAGCCAGTTTAAAAAGGCATAATGAAGCACTACAGAACACCCCCAAATCTCATCTCAGTAACACATTTAATGAAATATTTCCACTATATTCCTACAACTGTACCTTCAAAACTGCATGTCCTATCTCCTACAACCTTACCTTCACAGACAGTTAAACACATGAAGAGAGATTACTACAATATTCATTAAGGAGAAATAGAAACTGTCTTCTTAAAATAGTTGAAATTATCATGAAGTCACCTGACAATGAAGTTTTCTGTTCATTTTATCATCATCCTATATAATGGTTTAGTGCACCTTTCAATCACAATGATCAACAGCAGAATGCACTTCTCATCACAGAACACCTAACAAGCTATTCTGGACCACTATTAAAGTATCATGAGTCAATGCATTAATGTGACTCATTCAAGCAGGTATTAGCCTGAAAAAAAGAATGGCTACTTTAAAGAAATGCTGCACTCATACACACACATGTTCAAATAACCTCTTTCAAATCATTTTCAAAGAATGTATTAGGCCTACTGAATTGACACCTTTACAATGTAATCAGGAATACATAAAATCCTACTTATGACTGTGCAGGCAAGTGTTTTCTAAGACAACTGGCTGCACTCTCCTACTATGAATGGGGAAAGCTGGATGGTGCCTGTTTGCATTTCTTTAATATGTATGCATTTTATTAGTTTTTCCAACAGAAAGGACAAAACATGTATAAACAATTTTTTTTCCTGAAACGGATGGTGAGATTCAGCCCTACTGTAATTATTTGGATAAATACTGAATAAAATAATAGCAAACTTACACCCACCATAAGAAATGCACTTACATTCATAGCAGCAATATCATTTTCATATGACTCCCTGATTTTCTTCATTATTTCTTCCTCAGCCTTGGCACATGTTTCAATACTGCCTTTAACTGTAATGGTTCGTTCTGGATTATATAGTGTCAAGTCCTGCAATCTTCATAGCAGAAAGAGGTGAACTGTTATGCATGCAATAGCTAATATATGAAGCTGAAACTGAAAATAATTATTCTTCAAATAAAGTTATACTCAGAAAGTATTTACAATTCTTCAGATAAGCAGTAGATAAAACTTCAGCATAGGCAGTTCCTGGATGTATCATTTGTGTAACCCCAGATTCAAAAATGCTTGACCATCAGCCAATCCATCTTTGTGAGTAATATAGTTAGGTCCAACTAGAATGCCAGTCATTCAACAAAATATGGTTTGTATCTTGAGTCATGTCTTACTAGAGACATGGATTGGTTGGGAAGACAAGCATATGCTATGCAACAACCCAGTAGGATGTGGCCTCGCTTTCAAGGTCTTCTACCTCCAGAGGATAATGTTCAACAATTAAGTTTCCACTGTTCTAAATCTGATTGTTAAATAACAAATAATTGTTAAGTGGAAATGCAGTTCTGTATCTTTGTATATTAAAAGCCACATATTTAATTTGTATCATCATACTGCTCAGTGTTTAACATTTTTTAAAGCTATATGTACTATTACAGCTGTTCCAGGGACAAAGGGCTTCACTGTTCAATTCATTATTATTATCAGCAATTATACTGGCAAAATTGAACAAATCCAGAAATTTATACAATTTTTAAAAAATCAAAACATATGAGACTTTTGACAGTAAGACACATTAGTAATTTTATTACTTTTCCTCTTCCAGCAAATATATGGCTCCTAATCATGTTCCTAACACACACAGACACACACAACAATTATTAAAACAGACTGGACACAAAATATATTTTAACTACAGCATATTGGTAATTCAAACGATGCTACCTGCTACAACTTTTCTGTTTAAAAAAAACCCACCTTCACAAAAGTGAGGATCAACTGTTCTCTGTGCTATTGACTTATGTGAGGGGGAAAACCTGCGACTCCCCTGGCTTTTCAGATGCAGACCTTTAAAATGTTTAGTTTAAATCATTTCAGCATCCCTTTGGAGTCTACCACAGAATACTGGACTTACTGCAGAATGTGTCATGGAGAGTTCCTCCTCCCATGTACTTGGAAGCAAAGCTGATCTACTAGACTTCCTGCCTCAGGAGGTGGGAGGGAGTTCCCACCCAGTTTGAGAGCTGTAGTCCATTGGGTGCCATAAAAAAAATTAAGAAAACTACACTGAAGTGTTTTCTTTTATTATCCGACAACTCCAACAAAGAAACATAAGAGGAACAATGCAGAGAAATGGAGAACAAAACAAACTATTTTTTCTGGATTCTGAGGTGGAGGACTGTAATAAAAGAAGATGATCTCTTTATTATTTGCAGGAGCAAACAAAACTGAGATCAGTGAAAATAGGTTGACCTCCTTTCTTTCAAAAACGTTGGAAAACGTTGCCTCTTATCCTGGGTATGGATATCTACTACTAGAACATGCTATAGAATTATATATAATTATGTAAGAAAGATTTGAGAAACATTTGCACATAGTCTGGCCTTACATATGTCCCATAAGGGATGCTAGAGTTGATGTCTCAGACATCCATCCTGTAGACATGGATGTTTGCAGATTCCTTTAGTTCAAGTTATTCTTCACTGGTGAGCACAATGTACTTTCTGACCTAATTGTTATATTAGATATTACAAAAATACACATCTTTTCAACTCAAACAGCAACAAAATGAAGCCAAGGGTTGTCTAAAACAAAATATATTTCTTCCCCACCAACTCCCTGGTACAATTTGGATCCTTGCATAAGCATCCAATCCTTCCTTCTCTCAAGTATCAGGACAGAAGCAAGGAAGACAAAGTTAATATCCAAGAAGGACACCATCTTTAACATAAAAGTATGAACAGGTGTGTCTGAACAGCCATTTTGTTCTTAGTCAGATTACCTACACTTGGTGTAAAAACATAGATTCCATCTCCAATTCTCTGAGCCAATGTCACTATGTCAAGACAAAACACTGACCCTAAGGAACTTAAGGGTAGAGTGAGGAAGGGCTCTATGACCTGTGTGAAATCTCAGTAACAGAAACTATGGATAGTATACATTCAGAAAACAGCCATTTCTTTGAGACACAATTACACTGAAGAATCTGAAGAATCCCTACTGGCAAACTTAAAATACTGTTCCCTATGAGCTACCAGCAACCTCTGACATTCCTCTCCTTGGACTTAAACCATGAATACTCAGTGAAACAGAGCGACTAGAGAAATGCTTGGCTCTCAATCCTGATTCCTGCTCACACTCGAACAGGAGGCATTCAAATACATTTTTGTTGCCTTGGCAGCTAAGATGTCTTTTTCCTCAGAGGGAAATACTCTACCTCACCCAAACAAGAAATGCAGCATTCCTTCTCTGCCTATTCCCTGTATTGAGAAAAACAGTTTCACAAACTGTTCATTTTTCTGATAGAAAATAAGTCTTTTAATTGCATGATAAGCATATCAGGAATGGGGGACGGTATCTTCTCAAAACCAGATACAGAACTCTGGATGGAATGAGTTCTCTCTTCATTAATGAGTAGACTGGATAATGCAGATACAATACCTCTATTGATTAGCCTTGTATTGCGAGGTCATGATAACATTGCAGGCACTTCACAACACATGGGATCATGGCTGAAGACAGTCTAAGAAAGTTACACTATGTTCTTTTAAACTGGTACCAAATACTTCTCTACTGAGCTCGCTAGAGCCTAGATACAGACTGCACTGGGGGAATAAGACTTCTTCTAAGGAAAGCAAGACATGAATTTGGGAAATAAAGATGAAATCTCATTCATCAGCTCCATTCTGTAAAACTATAAAAGGACTCATAAATGACAAGGCCTTAAAGATAATTTTGAATTTTGAGCCATAGTCAAACTGAATCAAAGTTCGGTATCACTGAAGAAAAATAGCAGCTGTTATTTTCTCTTACATGAGATTTATATATATTTGAATACCATCAATCATTGTAGTTTCATAGTGGTTGATCAAAAAAACACAGTACTGAAATAAACATATTAAAGAGGCAATTAATAATTATTTTAAAATTGTAAACAATTACAAGCATAGATGCACATGACATGGTAAAAAATCATTTTGTGAATGGAATAGTTTTGATTTAGAAGTTTGGCCAGTCCATTCAATTCAACACTATTCGGTTGTTCTGGGCTTTGGCTGAGACAAATTATAGCACGGTGAGTAGGACAAGGCTTTGTCCGTCTTCCCACTTAATCATCTTCAACACAGCTTGTGCACCAGCCCATCCTCCAATTTTGCCAGCATCTTCCTTTTCCCTAGTCACCAACAGGCCTGAATTAAAATGTGGCATACCTAGCAGGCTTATTTGCTCCTTCCTCAGTTTTATTTCCTTCTGCTTAACTACTAATATGTGCTGCTCTTGGCTTTGCTTTTTCCTTACTCTTATCCTTGGGTACAGACCACCCAAAAGTAGCTGTTCCACGGCTGGAATGTTTTGCACAGCCTAAATTAAAAAGCTGTTTAAAATCTGATCCATATTTACCATCAGACAAGCCTGCTGATTAAGGAGCAGCTGAGAGTCCAGGTCCCCATATCACAAACTACCTTGGGGAGAGGAGAAAGAGTATGGGCACTGGAAGGCGGGGAGGAGAAACCAGTTAAGGACAGGGCTTCACCGAGGGCCCTGTTACATGCAGCCCCAAGTAGAACTGAGTGGTGAGGCGGCTTTGTGCAACAAGGCCCTCAAGAAGCCCCATCCTTCACGGCTTCCCCGTCCCCGCCTTCCAGTACCCATACTGGGCTGGGGATGTCCCCTTCTCCCCTTGCTGATCCCCTCCTGTGCAAATGCACCACCCCTGTCCTGGTCTGCAAAGCAAGAGAAAGGAAACACCCACGTGCCTCTCTTCCCCCCATCCCCATTGATGCCCATGTTGCTCTAGTGCTTTCTCACTTGCCAACCACAGCCCCTTTTCTCCCCTCCCCCCAGAAAAGAAGGGCCCCGCCAAGTGATTTCTGTAGGCAATCTCTCCTCTGCCCCCCCTTGTTTGCCAAGTGCGCTTGTGGCTGCTGGCGCATTGCTTTTGACGTGTATTCCCCACTGTGTCCCTGCTTGCTCTCATCTAATCCTTTCCTCTCCAATGAATGTAAATACAAACATTAATTCCCTTCTTGTTAATTATCCAGCATGGGGTAAACATTCCAAAAGGCGAGGGAGTGATTAGGAGGCAAAAAAAGCTTAAGGTGTGAAACTGATTACTCTTGTCAGTTTTGAGCCTGAAAGCACAATCGTGGTCACGTGATTTCTCACTTAGCAACCTCTTCACTTAGCAACCGAGTTGCCAGTCGCTACTGTGGTTGCTAAATGAGGACCATCTGTACCTCTATCTCTGATGACCAGCCTAGAGTAGATATGAGCAACTCTATCTGCCAAGAAATCCACAAATTCTTCTGTTTGAACCTGAAGGTGCTTTGCTTGCTTTTCTTTCCCTAAAAAGGTCCAAATAACTATAAACAGGGTCATCCAACAAGAATATGCAGATGCAATAAGCATGGAGAACTACTGATGTTTTGCCACTCTTATCACTGCCATGAAAGCTCAAGGGTGAGCTCTGATCACTACTCCATCACATCCACTTCTGGTTTTCTTCCATCACACTGGGTATCTTTTCAGACGTTTCACTTCCTCAGCTCCCTGGAAACTAAGCAGCTGCGTGAAATCAAAAAGTGGGAAGAGGCCTTATTGGAACTTCATCCAGCACATGTCTTCCTTAAGTTCCAGAAACTGACTAGATGCCTGATAGAACTGTTTGCCAGGTAGCCAGGAAAACCCCAAAGTGCCTTCTGAAATCTTTCTGGATCCATTAGGCATATGCAGCAGGCTATCCTAAAGGGCCTGCCATCCATGCAGAAGTCCAGGTCTTTTTATCTGTAATTTGACAAGGAAGTGATCTGACCACAGTAAAAAACAGATGTCAGTGTCCTCCATCCCCAAGTAACACCTCATCTGCTCTGAAGTAAAACCAGGTCCACTGTGCCTTCCCATGAGTTTTAGGGCTACAATTACTTGCAATGCACCCATAATCCCCATGGAGGCTATGAATTCACATAGTACACAGGATCCTTCCCCAGAGCATGGAGGTTGAAGTTACCCAAGATTGAAAGCTTCAGAAACCAAACCAGTGCCAAGACAACATCCATATTAGTAGTAGTAATAACATCCTTATTGGACTAATAAAAAAACAAAACTTGATAATATACAAATGAGTATGTTATGAAATGCTATTCAAATTTAGAGACAACAGAATGCATTGGAAACATTAACATCTCTCAGGAATTTCATAACATTTTTCAGATGCAGTATGTTCAACTGCATGTCAAAGGGACCTTATAAACTGCGACATACCTGAGACACTAATGTATATGTCATAGTCTTCATACTTATGTATACAAAAATAAGTTAATAAATAGGGTAATAGATCACATTTCTATGCAAAGAAAATATACTGATCATCATATAGCCATAACCTATTGAAATTAGCAACTCTATGAATGCAGTTAATACTTTTTTCCATAAAACCCTGCTGGCAATTAGTAGTTCTAGTAAATATATCATTTTAAGACTGACTTGTTATATACTTCCTTAAAGTTCATTTTATCACATGAATAGTAGATTTGCTTGATTTAAGAATTGGCTCTTCTGGCTTTATAAACATTCAAGTTGATATCTAGAGAAGAAAAATGAACATCCAGTAATAAATATTTTCTTTAAGAAAAATCTTTAAAACACTAAATGCTTACGGAGATATTGTGATTTTAGTGTCGGTATCCTGTTCAATTTTTTTCAAATTCCGTCCCTCTTTGCCAATGAGCCGGCCAACAAAATTATTATGTGCCAGTATCTTCAAGGGAATTTCTTCTGTGCTGTAAACAGTCCAGAGATTTGTATGAACTAAAAAGTCACATAGTTGATCAATCAGAAATTAAGAAGCTAAGTCATTTTTCCATGATCAGGTTCAGTTAGTTCATTATATAATCAAGAAACTCCCAAACCATCATGGAAAATTAAGTTTCCTGAAGAATAATTAATAGTTGAAGCTTTAAGCCCATCATTTCCGAATTGCTTTTAGTACATTTACCTTTACACTGTCTACATGATCATTAAAAAACAATTGCCATCTCCAGCTTATATAATTTCACCTTTTTTAAGTGCAGGTTTATTTAGAGTACTAAGTTCCTCATTAAGACTACAAATGGATTCTAAGGCAATCTAGATACTTCAGAAAGACTCAAATAAGCGTTTTTTATATCAATTAAACTTTATTCCATATGAAACAGGTCAATTTGCAATAGTCAAACAGTAACCCCCTGATATTTAGAAGGCTCTGGACTGAAGAATTGGTTTTGTATCCAGGAATATGTTTGAAATAAGGCTTAATTTTAAAGAAATTATGTGTTCACTGAAAATATACTGATTTTGCTATTTTAATCAGATTGGGTTTTTTCATACTTAGATTCTAAAGCAAAATTTATTCATACTTCACAGTCACAGATTCCTTGTATCTCTAGGAAGAAAAACCTCTATCAGTTTTTCTTCATATTGTATTATTTCCTATCTCTAATAATAGCTTGTGACTTTTATATTCAGTACTCATAATCTGTCTAGGACACCAATTTATCACAGTTTGGGGGAGAACTGAATGTGTTTAGTGCTGTCCTACAATGACTATATGAGCTCCTTGATCATAACTTATCCCCTGTAGTACTGTGTTATCAGAGAAGTTAGGAATGAAAGCACCATACTATGGTTACTTTAGGACTTATAGACTGGAGAAAGCAAAATTATTTCCTAGGCTAATTTGACTTTAAACCTCCTATGAAACGCTCAGTAACACAAGAAAACTAGACCATTTAAAATTGCTTTCTCATTAAAAATTTGCAGTGGCTTCAACTGTTACCTTACACTTCCATCATGTTTCAATTGTTATTGTTCAATTTATATAATAGTGAAGATGCCTTTTGGATACTGTTTACATTATGATTGCTAAATATATTGGGAAGGACTCTTTGCTTATATATATTTCATTTGCTATTTTGAAATGTTAGAAATTCACTTGAAATTCTGTCATCCATTTTCCTATATAAGTATTAACATCTATCTCTATAGATATATTTTAACTGTACAAAACATGCTTAAAAATTAGGTAACTTATCTTCCTGTTTTAGAACTATCTGCTAACTCTTTTCTTCAACCGTTTTGTATTACACGTATGAACAGGATTAAGACGTAATATTCCAAACTGGCTTTATATATAATTTGTTTGCCATAGTTAAGTATTTATTTAAGGTGTTCTAAAAAAGAGAGAGACTTACTAAAACACTTTTACTCACAATTTAGTGTCTTGAGCTTCCTTTTGCATTATTTCCATGATAATTTTACAAGCAGTTGAGCACCCTTCTGGGGTAGAATGGATTGTGATTGGTTTCTCAGCAGCTCCTGCATTTTCTTTGCGATGAATATCAATTCTGAGAAGAGAAAACAATGTAAAAATGTTTGTGATTTTCAAAAACTGAGTTCTGCGCAAATAAACCTACAGAACCTAATCCAAATGTCATAACTGGCTATCAGATTATGGCTACGCATTCTCATTAATATCAAGTGATGCATTCAGTTCAATCCATGTGGTCTTGTTGTCTAGCCTCATTTACTTTGCATCTGCCACAAAATGAACATGCATACAAAAGGCTGTTACAGACCAAAAAGCTCCTCTGAGGGATTAGACCGAGTCCTAAAGAGAGTAATCTGTACATTTTTTTTATCTAACCAAATTGTAGACAAAGTCCCTCTCAAATTAAGCTTGATTCCATGCCAATGATTTGCCACTACCTTATTCTGGGATTTTTTTTTTCCAGCTTCCCAATCTAGCAGCCCTGGGACTTTCCAGTGGCCCACTGTGCTTAGCTTTTTTAAGATCAGTCACAATAAGTCATATTCACCCACTATTATAAGATCTGCTCACCCGAACTAAAATTTAGAAGTGATTTGATCAATGTCACTTATCAACATATACAGACAGTATCTATGACTTCCTATATTTTCCTTTGGGGCTTCAAAATTTCAAATTCTCTTCTCTCTTTGTAGTGCCAACATAGAAAGTCAAACCTTTGTCAATTGCCTGCCACCCATCTCAATGTTTGTAGTACTGCACCTCTAGAAATACATTAACTCATTGCCACCTCTCAGACCTACAGTTCTATGTAACTGTAGAACACATTTTGGTTCAGTGAAAAAAAGAATGCTATGCTTGGCTTCAAAAGAATCCTAAAAACTCACTCCAAAAATGGATGTCAAAATAAGCAATAAAATGCAAAAACTTGCATCAGTGAATACTAACTAGAAAAAAACAGAGTTCAATGTTATTTGTTTCAACAAGGGACCGTACAGGGCTGAAATACAAAGATGTCACTGGACAGTCTTTCTTTAATGCAAAAATATTACACCATATTGGCCTTATTCAGATTCCATTCTGCTAAATTATAGTTGTGATAACTGGAAGCATCCTACAGACATCCATGTTTCTCCCATTCATACAAATTCCTCCCTCCCATTTTCAGTTCACAAATTGACTAAGTTTCAGTATTCTACCTGAACTTGGTTTCATCCTACAGCAGTTTAAAAATGACTGTTTTAAAAGAAGTGAAATTATATATTGAAATGTTGTATTGAACGTACTTTAAAAATAAGTTTTAAAACCCCTACCTCAATGAAGTTTATTAAAATCTATATTCCAGATTTAAAATAATCATTTATCAAGCATTATTAAGTTAAATAACTCATTTTTAAATAAAAGAACAAATGGACAAAAATGTCAGATGTGCCCAAATCAGTAACAACACAGTCTTTCTAACCATGATGTACTGGCCCAAGAATGAATTGTTTATCCCTTCTCTTCCCTCCCATCCTCTTGAGTATCTGCCTCCTTAATATCTAGACTGGGGTACTATAGATGCAAGACTATGTAAAGAAATGTGACAGGTTCCAATGTTTGTCTGGATTCTTAAAATGTAAAAATATGCTTCAAGAACTCTTAACAGCATTACTGAAATGTACCCAGTTGGCACCATCTCTGTTCAACTGAATCATAAAGCAAGATGATATGAAGTCAGATTCTTCTTTCCCAATTAAAAACTAGAGTTATTTCACTAACAGACATTCAGGAAATATGATGCTTTAAAACGTATAAAGTTCATATAGCAACTTACTTTGACTGTGTCTGCTTTGTGATGTTTCTGATGGTGGCCCCTTCTTTTCCAATAATAGCTCCTACGAACTGGGTTGGAACAAGCATCCGTAACGGAATATCAGACTGTGGTTTCTGCCTCGTTGCTGCACCTGGTGAACCTTGTCTAGGGGGACCTCTCTGCCCAAATCCCCGTCTCCCCTGAGGATGCTGCTGAGGTGGTGGTTGGGCTGCCATTTCATCAGGAATATACGCAACTTTTAACGAATAGTTCTCAAGCTGGAATCCGTTCAATTTTTCTATTGCTCTGTATAAGTTTACAAAGGAAGTAAGTTATTGGAAGATGAAGCTGCAGAACAGGAAGACAATCAATTATGGCATTTCATTTGGAGCAGTAAGCTGCCCCATCTAGCTCATGAGATCTTAATAAGGCCCTTCTCTCCATGCCTAAAGTATTATCTCCTTCATTGCTCATGGGGAAATGCCTTGAAATGCAATGATAGCAACTTGAAGCAGAGCTTCTCTGAAGTTCTGCCTTTGTCATGTTTCCCTAGGGCAAAAAGTACTTTGGGAGTCAGCATCTCACAGTACTCCAGCTGGGAGGTCTTTTGAGTGCTGGCTTTTGAAGAGCCACATTTAACTCTTTTCTCTTAATGGGTTGGCAAAAAGAGCCTTCAGATAAATGAAGGCATGATTGGCTGGAATCTTAAAGCTGCTTATTGCTGGATGTAGGGCTAGATTCCATCCTCTTACAACGTAAGAGGATGAAATCTAGCCCTAATTTATGACACTACGAAGCATGGAGGGAAGAACTAGACTCTTGGCTGGATCCTTTTCTGCAGCATACCCAAGAAATTCAAATTCTAAGTACAGGTAGTCCCCAGTTAACAACTACCCTGTTTAGTGATCATTTGAATTTATGATTGCGCTGAAAAAATAGATTAACGACTGGTCCTTGAAATTATGATGGTTGCAATGTCCCTGTGGTCACAAGTCAGGCACTTGGCAATCGACACTTATTTATGACAGTTGCAGAGTCCCGCAGTCACGTGATCGCCATTTGGAACCTTCACGGCTGGCTTCCAACAAGCGAAGTCAATGCGGAAGCTGGCAATAAGTTGCAGGTTGCAGTCATATGACATTGCGCTTAATGAGTGTGATTTGCTTTATGACTGCAGCAGAACTCAAGTCATAAGTCAGGTATGGTCCTGTGATGTTTCACTTAACAACTGTGTCACTTAGCAATGGAGTTGTCGGTCCCAACTGCGGTCATTAAATGAGGACTACTATAAGTTAGTTATCTAGATTTGAATTGTCATTCTTTCATCTTCCTGTGTTTTCTTTTTCCTTAATTTTATATGACTCTTTAGACTCTAAATCTGAAGGTTTTATTGCCTCCTAATAGTTGAGCTATTAAATATATATTGTCTTATTATGCAGAACCAGACCAGAAGTATATATTTTTACTAGAAAACGATATAATCAAAAGCACAACTTACTTCTATGCAGTGATATTTAATGAACAGTTTTTCTCAGGCCAATTGATTATTCTATCTATCTATCTATCTATCTATCTATCTATCTATCTATCTATCTATCTATCTATCTTGTCACTGCCCATCTCACTAAGTACTGGAGAAAGATACCACTGTGAATTAATATGCTAATGAATGTACTTTTTATCCAAATTTAATTCTATTAAAATTCTTATACTCTACTTATTTTAAATGTCAGTTACTTAATTTATGTGACATACAGGTAGTCCTCGGCTTACATCCATCCATTCATTGACCTTCAGAGTTAAGGCAGTGCTGAAAAAAATGGACTTATGACCAGTCCTCGAAATTCTGGCCACTGCAGTGTCTCCACAGTCACATGATCACAATCCAGGCCATCGGGTGCCCAGCCCACGATTACAATGTCTCAGCAAGCCACATGACATCATTGCCATTTGCAACCTTCCCTGCTGGCTTCCCACAAGCAAAATCAGTGGGGAAGCCGGCAGGGAAAGTCACATGGCATCCCAGTAAGTGCTTCTACAGCTTTTTCTCCTGAGAAGCCCGCTATGGAGTATGAGATCCCAGGGATCTTGTATTCCATAGCACCCCCCGCCCACACTCCACAGCACCTGCCTGTGGTACCCACCCAGCCATGACCTCCACCAGCCTGCCCATGCTCTCTAGCAGCTGCCTGTGGCACCCACCCCTATGTTCCTTACCTGGGACTCCTGCCTCTTCCCACTTAATGACCCATGAGTTCTGGGGTTACAATGGCAACCAAGTCTGCTGGGATTGCCAGCACTAAGTGAGGAGGTCACGTGATGTTGTGCATTATGACAGCATTCCTTAGCGATGGCAATCCCGGTTCCAATTGCCGTCGTAACCCAAGGACTACCTGTATAACACTCCAACATTTGCAAATAGATGTTTTTTATTTCCCCAGATAATCTTATTAAACTATCTGAGAATTCCAACATCAAATCACAGCAAATTGTAATAAATACACCCATACAGAGAATACAAATCCCATTTGTGTAACATCCAGTGTAGTACAGGAAATACTTTAAAGCACTTAAATTATAATATCAATAAGGAAAACATGCTAAAAATACTTTTCCTCCTTACAAAAGTTTCTATACAAAATACAGGCTTTTCATATAAAAATGGCATTTTAAAGTATTCCAGGCTGAGCACTGCTGGCATTAAACAGTCATGTGAAAAAAGTACACCCCATTGAATTTTTTTACTTTTTCAATGTATTTCAACATACAGATATTTGATTTTCATTTCAACAATACTGATAAAGAGGATATAACAAATATCATGCACCATTTACATTTTGTAGTCCATTAATTTAAATAAATATGAATTGAAATTTAGCATGTGCAAAAAATAAGTACCCTCCACATTTATCACTACCTCAAATATCTAAAATTAGAATCAGGTGTATCAGATCAGGTGTAAATATTTAGAACATTGTTAAAGAGGATCTGGGAGGAACCTGTCTTATTTAAACTTCAGACATTTACTTTGATTTGCTCCTTATTGATGTGTGTGATATCATGCCTAGATGGAAAGAGCTCTCTGAGCCCTCCAAAATGGTTATAGATGCCTATGAGTCCACAAAATCATCTGGAGATTTCAAACAACTGCTAATTTGTCCAGACCAGGCTGTCCCAGCAAGTTCAGTCCAAAAGCAGAATGCAAGGTGTTGAAAGAAGTTTCTAAGAACCCCAAAATTTCATCATGTGACCTACAGGTAACTCTCACCATTACTGAGTGAGTCAAAATGCATGAGTCTACCATTAGAAAGAAGCTGCATGAATTAGATCTACATGGAAGATGTGCTAGGAGATCTCTGCTGTCCAGAAAGCACACCAGGGCAAGACTAAAGTTTGCTCATGAACACCTAGGCAAAAACCAAGACTTCTGGAACAATGTGCCCTGGACAGATGAGGCAAATATAAGAGTTATTTGGCCACTATACCAGAAGACATGTTTGGTGAAAACCAAAAACAGATTTCACCTGAAGAACATGATACCAACTATAAAGCACGGTAGTGGAAATATTATGGTTTGGGGCTGCTTTGCGGCATCAGGGCCTTGGCAGCTCACCATCACCGAATCTACTATGAATTCTACATTGTACCAGAGGGTGCTTGAGAATAATGTGAGGCCATCTGTCAAGAAGACTGAAGCTCAAACTAAAGTGTATCTTGCAACATGACAATGACCTAAACACTCCAGTAAATCCACCAAGGAATGGCTGAAAAAAAAAAGAAGAGAAGAAATGGAAGGTTCTGGAATGGCCAAGTCAAAGCCTGGATCTCAATCCCATCAAGATACTGTGGAGTGATTTGCAATGGGCTGTACGTGCAAGAAACCCCTCAAATATTGCAGAGCTTAAAAAATTGTGCATGTAGGAGTGGGAAAAAATTCCTCCCACTCAATATCAGAGACTAGTAAACAGTTATAAGAAACACCTACTTGAGGCTGTTTCTGCCAAAGGGGGCAATATTAGGTATTAGAGCCAAGGGTGTACTGTACTTACTTTTTCCACAGAAGGATATGGCACATCTGTTTTTTGTTGAATAAATTATTGCAAAGTCATTTTTTCTCTTTAATTAATCAACTTTATATATTGCTTGAATGTAAATAAAACACTATGTCCACATATGCTTAAAAAAAACCCTTTACATGGGGTATACTTACTTTTTCACATGACTGTAAGATATTATGCCACACCACACAAACTTTTCTTCAAGTAAATAACCAAAAGTTTTGCGTTATGCAAATTTTGGTACCCCAAGCTCACTGAACACAACAAGCGTAGGCATGGCAAACTGCATTATGTTGAAATCCAAGTTGATTTCTTATATTACCTGAGGTAAACGTATATGCAATTTTCATATATGAAAGAAAAATTGTATTTCAAAACATAGCTCATACACTTGCTTTGCAGCTAGTATTTCTCTCATCCAGAGAGTAGCAAATATTTTCTAACATATATCAATTTGAAAGCAAATAAAAACAGATCCAGAAAGACAAATAACCGTTAATTTCATTAAATTAAGGAACTTTAATAAAGTAATCCACACTTGATTAGTATAATTTAAATCGGTATAATGCAGGAGGGAGTGTTTCCAGCTGCTTTTAACGAGGCATTGGTGTACCCCCCCCTCAAGAAACCCTCCCTGGATCCTACGGTGCTGGACAATTTTCATCCAGTCTCCCACCTCCCCTTTTTGGGGAAGGTGGTTGAGAAAGATCCTACTGTGCTGGACAATTTTCATCCAGTCTCCCACCTCCCCTTTTTGGGGAAGGTGGTTGAGAAAGATCCTACTGTGCTGGACAATTTTCATCCAGTCTCCCACCTCCCCTTTTTGGGGAAGGTGGTTGAGAAAGTGGTGGCATCACAGCTCCAAAGGGTTCTGGAGGAAACGGATAATCTGGATCCCTTCCAGTCAGGTTTCAGGCCCGGTTATGGAACGGAAACGGCACTGGTCGCGCTTATGGATGACCTCTGGCAGGAATGGGATGCTGGAAGTGCGACCATCCTTGCTCTCCTTGATCTCTCAGCGGCTTTCAATACCGTTGACCACGGTATCCTGTTGGGAGGGCATTGGGCGTGGGCGGCATGGTCTTGTGCTGGTTCACCTCCTTTCTCCAGGGCCGATCCCAATCGGTGGTGATAGGGAGCGAGAGATCCCATCCTCGGCCCCTCCTTTGTGGGGGGCCGCAGGGTTCAGTTCTCTCCCCGCTCCTTTTCAACATCTACGTGAAACCGCTGGGTAAGATCATCCGTCATCGTGGGATGAGGTATCATCAGTATGCTGATGATATGCAGCTATACATCTCCATCCCAGGTGAAGTAAGTGATGCCGTGGCTGCCCTTTCGCGGTGCCTGGAGGCTGTAAGGGTCTGGATGGGGAACAACAGGCTTCGGCTGAACCCTGGTAAGATGGAGTGGCTGTGGCTTAAAGGCTCCTCTGTGTCCGAGACTTTGTCTTCTCTGGTGCTGGATGGGGTAGCACTGCCCCAGACAGACCCAGTGCGTAATCTGGGGGTCCTCCTAGACTCACGGCTCCTGCTTGAAGAGCAGGTGGCAGCCGTGGCAAGAAGGGCCTTTGCACAACTTCGGTTGTACATCAGTTATGCCCTTTCCTGGATTGGGATGCCCTTCGAACAGTCACTCATGCCCTTGTTATCTCCCAGATAGACTACTGCAATGCGCTCTACATGGGGCCACCTTTGAAGAGTATCCGGAAGCTACAGTTGGTCCAGAATGCAGCCACGCGGACTATTTTTGGAGCCCCAAGGAGGGCCCATGTAACGCCACTGCTCCGCGAGCTGCACTGGGTACCAGTTTGCTTCCAGGTCCAATTCAAGGTGTTGGTTAT